AAACACAGGGGCTGGAGAGATGACTCAGTGGTTAAGAGCATTGCCTGCTCTTCCAAAGGTCCTGAGTTCAATTCCCGGCAACCACGTGGTGGCTCACAGCCATCTGTAATGAGGTCTGGTGCCCTCTTCTGGCCTGCAGACATACAGACAGAATATTGTATACATAATAAATAAATATAAAAAAACATAGACCATGATATGCATGTACTTCCTCAACACAAACAAGCACATATAATTTTTTATCTAAGGGATTTAAAACATGTAAGCATGAACAAACTTAGAAAGTGAAGATTTTTGTTTGTTTCTGTTTTTGTTTCCAAGACAAGGTTTCTATGTGTAACAGTCCTGTCTGTCCTGGAACTCGCTTTGTAGACCAGGCTGGCCTCAAACTCACAGAGGTTTGCCTGCCTCTACCTCTGCCTCCCAAGTGTTGGAATTAAAAGTGTGCGCCACCACCGCCCGGCCCATTTTTGTTATCTTGGTCTGAGCCTCTCTGTGCCTGTTATTTCTGTGAAGGATACCTGGACACTTTATAAACCAGCCAAATCTGAAAGACATTATTTTATTAACACACCAACATCTCTCCACTGCTCCACTAAACAAGTGGTGGTAACTTGCACATGAATTGGCACCAAATGCTCATCAGACCCTAAGTCCAGATGTCTCTGACAAGCCCTGCCTGACTGCAGGCAAGGCTGCCCAATACTACTCAGCCGCAAGGACCTGGTTTAGTGACTTGTCACTCTAGGAAGCCAGATCCTGCTATAAGACCTGCTTCCAGGCTTTAGCCCTGGCTTTCCTCCACAGTGAGAGGCAGTTCGTAGCTGGCCTTTGGTGTCAGGGTGGGGAAGGCTTCAGGAAGGGCTCCAGAGTTGCCTCACAGGGAACCCCTTCCCCCGGCCTTTTGGAATCCAGGTCGTCTATGGCGCAGAGCTGCACACCATTCTGGGCCAGCCGAGCCCGCAGGGTGGGTGCCGTGAGGACGTGCAGCTCATGCAGCCGCTCCCAAGAACAAGAGAAAGCATCGGGGCCCTCACCGCAGCCCCCTGCTGGAGGCACACTGGGGTATCCTGGGTGTGCCATCAGTTCGGCAGTCAGGGGACGGCCAGCAGGGATATCTTCCAGAGCCCGTGCCAGTGACGCCAAGACTCGGTGAGCAGACATGTGACGGCCACAAGTGCTCAGGCCCACAAAAGCATCGGTCCACCTGTGAGTGCCAGGATAGAGGTGTTGCCTGAGGACCGGCAGGGCTAGGCAGAGGGTGAAGCAGGACAGATCAGTAACTAACTTTGGTTGAGAAAAGGGCAAATGAACGCACTGGGACCGTTGGGGACCCGGCAGGGTTGGATGGGGTGGGGGAGGGCGGTGCTCACCGCAGGCCGTGGCGGGAGAAGGGACCCATGGCGGCCTGGGCATCGCTCTCCACAGCGCTGGCGAAGGCACGCGCTGGTGCTTCCAGCCACGCGCAGCTGCCCACGCCGCGTTCCACTGGTAGCCGCGTGAAATGCACCCCGAACGCCTGCAGGGCCTCGGCGAACACCTGACACACGCCTGCTTGGAGGGGTGGGCTCAGCATCGACCTCCCACCAACCTTGGAAAACAGCCCCCACCCCCACCCGGACCTGGACGCTTCAATCCGCATACCTGGAAGCACGTGCACGTGCTGGTGCCCGTCCACGTGCGTGGGGGACCTGCCCAACAACTCCCGGAAGCGGTTGAGTTGAGCTTCTAGCTCCTCCCGCACCTGAAGGGGCACAGATACCTTGAGTTTCTGGAAGCAGCGCCACAAAGCGAAGAGCTCCGTCTGGTGCCACGGAGTGACTGCTCCAAGGTTTGAACTAGCAGCTTATCCAGCGCCCGCGTTTGCCCCAGCGACTTCCATGATACCCTCTGGACTGCACTTTGATCAGTATCCGCCTGTCTCTAGCCACGCCTCCGCACCTGAGGCAAAGCAACGTCTCCAGCCGCTAAGGCCTTCCGAAAGCCCATCTTCCCGAGAAAGAAGCCTTCTGAGCTGAGGAGCGACGAGGCGGTGTGGCGGGCGGGACCCACAGGACGGCCCTCAGTCAGGTTGGCGTGGAGGCCCGTGGGAATGCTGTGCCTGCGGGCGGAAGCGCGAAAGCAAGCACTGGCTGCCACCGACAGGCAGCCCCCCAAACCTGCCCGTTACTGAGGGGGGCCTCCCTCACCTGCGGGCCAGCTCGGCCGCGCTCTCTGCGGCTGTGCCGTTGGCCAGCAGTGACACGCTGGTCACAGTTCCTGCCAGGAAGGCCTCCACGATGCCCTTATCGCGCCGCGGGCAGTAACCAAAGTCATCAGCTGTGACAACCAGCTGCACACGAGGCCAAGCCATAGCTGCCAAACGTTGGCTGAAGACCAGAGAGAATGGACTGCAGCATCCAGACCCCGCCCTTGAACGCTGCCGAGGCCCCACCCCGACGCACGCGACTAAATGCGACTGCACGCCGCCATTGTTTTTTGCCAAGAAGTCTCTGAGTTCTGAGTGTCTTGCAAACGCCCGGGTTAATTGTTCTGCAAATTTCTTTTTTCGCCTATGTCTATCTATAACCATATCTCTCTCTGTATGTGTGTGTGTGTGTGTGTGTGTGTGTGTGTGTGTGTGTGTGTGTACACGCGCGGCGCGCGCGCGCGCTCTGTGTTCTTGCCTGGACATGCAGATACTAGGAAAGGGTATAGAATCCCCTGGAACTGTAGTTAACAGATAGTTGTGGTCCACATGCGAACACATACTAGGACTCCAGTCTTTTGCAAGAGCAGTAAACTCTCTTTACCAATGAGCTATCTCTAGCTCTCAAAAAAAAAAAGATTTTTTTTTGAAAAGTAATTTTTTTAATGAAGAAAACAAGAGAAATATTCAAAAATTCCCCTCGCTCTTCCCAGTGTTTACCATCACCATTGCTCAGTTTCTGGGCAGCTTACTGTCCTTCCATTACTTTCCCTAAGAAAAGAAACGCCCTCCTCCTCTCCATCACTCAGGGATGATGGAAGGTTATTTCACTCTTGGGATGTTGCTTCTCTTTGTTTTTACACAGTGCCTATGAGCCTTTTCTTATTAGGAGTTCTTACTTTTACTTTTTTTTTTCAAATCATCTGTTCCTCACTGGTTCTAAGGGGAGGCTTTTTCAAATTAGAAAAAACTCTATTTTCTTTTTTCTTCCTGTGTTTCTCTGTATGTCTGTGTGGCCCTGGCTGTCCTGGAACTCATTCTGACCAGGCTGGTCTTGAACTCAGAGATCGGCCTGTACCACCACTGCCTGACTGTAAAAGCTCTACATAACAAGAACACAAGCATGCAAACCAATGGCCACACTGGAGAAAGCGTTAGCCCATTTTCACCTTGAGCTTCAGATAACTTTTCCGTTCATCACCTCACTTTTGCTCTTTGTCCAGTCAAGTTTTCTGATCCATGACTTACCAATAGTCACCATGGTGACAGCCAGTGTTTGCTTGGTAATGTGGCTGTCTTGATGTTGTTTTGAAACACAGACTTATGTATACCAGGCTGACCTCGCTATTTATTCAGCTGAGGCTAGCCTTGAACTTCTGACCCTTGTGTTTCCACCTCTAAAGTGCTGGCTACAAGTATGTGCCATCACAGCTGGTTTATGTGGTGCAGGGAATTGAACCGAAGGCTTCAAGCATGTTAGGCGAGCACTCTGCCAACTGAGCATGCTCAACCTGTCTTGGTTTCTCTTGTAGAAGGAGTGTTACTGGGTCAAGCCTGAGATCTTGGTAATTTTGTTTGTTTTACAGCCAAGGAAGCTGAAAAATCACCAGAGAAGGGGAACAGGGACTGCCCCTCCAGGCAGAGCCTGACCAGCTCTGGTTCCCTCCAGCTTATCCGACCCTCTGGATCACAGGCAGAGGGGAAAAGTATAGTTTAATCCCAACAGTACCTGATGATGCTTTGTAAGGGTTGGAAGCCTCAAAGAACCCTTCAGTAAAGTGCCTGGGGTAAACACTGCTGTGTCCAGTCACAGTGATTGTTGAGCCGTCAGGCGTCATCCAGCCACTGGACCCCTCTGGGAGGCTGCTCTCAGAACGGTCAGAGGCTTGAGGCCCTGGGCCCTGGTGAACACAGATGGAGAAGAGGAAACTCCTAAGCTCCTACCGGGTTGGAAATGTAGTCATTAGATCAGGGCTCACTGCCCCGATTCCTGATAAAGAAGTGCCAGCTATTAGACAGAACAGACACAGTGGGCAGTGGAGGGTGGACTTGCTATTAATCTGTTAGGAATGACAAGCTTCTAGGATGAGGGGAAAAGAAAAAGGTTGAGGTGAATTTATACAGAGTTTCCATAAGGTGCGATGTGTATTGAAAGAATATTTATGTAGCCAGGTGATGATGGCATGCCTTGAATTCCAGCACTCAGGAGGCAGAAGCAGGCAAATCTCTGTGATTTCAAGAAACCCTGTCTCAAAAAACCAATATATAGATATAGTTACATAGTTATATATAATTATATATAATGCTATATGTGTGCTTATGTATGTATGTTTGTGAGATATATATATATACTTACTTTTGGAAAGGGATGCTCCGCTTAATTTACAGATGAGGAGCCAGTGTTGAGAGACTGAGTCACATCAGAAAAAAACAAAAACAAAAACAAAAAAAAACCCACAAAAAACAAAAATAAGGAACAGGAATTGAAGCTAGGTCTATGTAGAAAATCAGGACTCTTCACTGCTTCCAAAAAGAAAAGCGTGAGAAGGAAGATGCTGGCTAGTCCACACTGAATAAGGGAAAGAAGTCCTGGAAGGAAGCCAACAGAGTTGGAGGTTCAAGTCTGTGCAGCGACCGGGGTGAGCTGAGGAAGGTGTTTCTGTCAGAAGTGGAGGCTGTGGCTTTCACCCTGAGGATTAGAGAAACATGCCCAAATTCAGACCTCTAGGCAAAATAAACTCAGATCTTTAAACATTCCCAAACACGGTTTAGCGGGCTTGACAGAAAAATCCAGCCAGGTGGGGGAGAAGACAATGTGGACCCCACCCCTAACCATTGTGTCGGGGAGGATCATGAACAAGAGGCTAGATTCTGGCCAATCAGAATGAAGTATGTAAATGAGCAACCTGGGCGGCTGCGGGGGTGGGATTCCAGGACACTGTGCGGTAGTCCTTAAACAGTGCTGACCCAGCGAGCTCGAGAAGCACAGAGGAGACTCTGGTGAGCTGCTGGGGGCTCCAGGGCCTCCGGTCTGAAAGACCAGAAGAAGTTTGTACACACGCGCCGTCCCAGACTCTTGCAAAAAGAAGCAACGACTTGAATGTCCACAGATGCGTGGCAGGTCCCCAGCAGGGGAAGGGTGGGATGTCTGAAGGACACAGATACGGTACAGGGAGTGAGGGACCCATGGAGGTCTGGTTCTACCTTTACTTCCTTTCCTGCCCTTTACAGAGGAGTCTGCATCTGTGCTGTGGAACCTGAGAAAGGAAGCAGAAAACAAATTTAATTATCCACATCATGGCAAGGTACCGCCACCACTCAGGATATCTGGCTGACGATGAAGGTCACAGCACCTATATGGCTCAGGTCAGTATGTCCAGCTGACCCAACATTAGTGTCTGGACCACTTCCCACCGCTTATCAGGGGACACCCTTACGTAGTCTGCTTGCTGAGCCCTGGTCACTCATGCTCCACTGGCCTCGGGCCCCCAGGTGGGTGGGGCTGGAGTCAGCCTGGGCAGTCAAGCTGAAGAAGCCGGCTCAAGTCTTCAAGGATAGCCCAGCAGTGAAAACAGTCAAGGGTTGTGCTAGAGACAGGAGAAGGTAGAAAGAGAGAAAGGCTCTCATAATTGCCCTTTCATACCATGAACACAGTTCCACTTTCCGGCTCCCAGCTAGGGCACCATAAACAAAATAGAGGCATTAGGGACCTTCTGTCAACCCCAGCAGACCCTACTCTGCAGAGAAGGCCCGATAAGGAGCTAGCTGTTCTGAGCACTATCACACAGCCTGAAAGGAGCAGAGTGTAATTCAGAACTGGTGAGATGGCTCAGTGAGTGACGGCACTTGGTGTCAATACTGATGGCCTGAGTTCCCTCTTCAAGAGGCACATAGTAGAAGGAGAGAACCAACTGCAGCCAGCTGTCCTTTGACCTCCACATGTGCACTGAGGCATAGATACACCCCCACACGTGCACACATACCCCTAAAGAAATGTTTAAAAATTTTAAAGTATAGTTCAGTGGTTGAACATTTGCAGAGGATGTTCAAGACCCTGGGTTCAACCCCCGGCATAATAAAAAAAAAGAGAAAAAGTCTTTCCCATTGTTCAATCCCAACTCCTAATAGCACCTTAGGAGGACTCCAGAGATAGCCCCCACCCCTTGCAGAGCATCCTGCCTGCTATGACAGTCTTGTCTGTGCCGATGCAGCTACCCAAGAGGCATCTGTTCCCAGAAAGGAGGCCGAACTGCAAGCTTGGACGTATGCCCCACCTACCATCAATGAACCGGTATTCAGAGCACCAGGGCCACCAGCAGAACCCTCTGCGCCCTCAAGCGTTTGGCAGCTTCCTGGATTTTCTGACAGAGGGTCAGGTACTGGACAGCTTGCAGACGGTGGTGGAGCAGGCAACAGAGCGTTTAGCTGCCATGAAGACAGAGGATGGAGTGCCACTGGTGGATATACAAGACCCAGTGGAGGTGCCAAGTGGTAGGCAGCGGGCTCGAGCCAGACCCAGCATCAACACTGTGCATCGGCACCGCGCCCGGCCCACGCTGTGTGCTGGACACCCAAACAATTACCCATCTTGCTCCAGCTCCATGTCCGATTCCCATAGCAGCATCACGGCTGGCTGGTTGGGCTCCCACAGCCAAGATAGTGACCCTGGTGCCCACCGCATAGGCTCACTGCCACCTGTGAGGGACAAACTCCTGCTTGAGAAAAACCTCAAGAGGCTACTGCGACTAGAGAACAAAGGGGTGAGTGAGATCTGTTGCCATGGCTAAGGCTGGCATAGGGTGGGCTAGGGTTAGGCCTGATTGGACACTGCTCAGCCTTTCTCTCTCTTTGCAGAAAGGTCTGAATCAACCCTGCTCCCAGAGGGATTCTCTGCTGTGGGACTCACTGGGCAGCCAGACCAGCAGTCAGTGGACCCGGGAGCAGCCCCTGTCTTGGTTCTCTGGGCTTTTGGGCTCCAGCTCAGTCACCCCTGAGACATCAGAGTTGGGACTTGGAGAACAGGAGATGATTTTCCTCAAAGAAGAGTTAAACAAGGAGATGAAGTCACTGCTAAACCAGCCTGCATCCTTCAACCTGCCTGCCTATTGTTCCCTCAGGGAACCCCATTGTACTCTGGACTTCCTGGCTGAGCATCACCTCTTTCCTGCCCTGCAGCGTGTGGTCCACCAGGCTGTAGACAAGCTCAGCCATGCCTGCCGCCACAATGGCTTCCCTCTCTTCCCCGTTGCCTCAGAGCCCACCCCAATGCTGCCCGGGAACTCTGATCTTCTGCAGTCGCACTCCAAAGCGTCCATTCCCACCACCAGGGAGGATGGGGAGGAGCCTTTTGATTCTCCCACCACAGCCTCCAGCCCTAAGACATCTCGCAGGAAAAGCAAGGGCAGACGGGACTCCCCTTCCATGTCTAATGCCCAAATGGCTACCAGATTCAGGCTAAAGGTGACACCTCCAAAAGTCCCTAATGTCCCTAGCCCCTCATTCCACTCCATGCAGGAGGCCCCTGACTTCAGTCCCAAATTACAGAAACCATCTGTGGCCCCGAGCCCCAACCACGTATCCCAGCCCCGTCATGGCCTGCACCTCACCCTGCCTGCCCCTGGGATCACAGTGGAGGTGGCCTCCTGCCAGGGCCATATCAGGGGCCCGATCCAGCATCATCTTGCCTCCCCCAACCCTCTTCCTTTTCCTCTCCCCTTTCCTGTGTTCTATCCATTTCTTTCTTTAGGAAAAAGCTTCTCCCCTTCCTCTACTACACTGTGTCCAGAGATGGCCTCAAGAGTAGAGCTGGAGGTCTTAGAGGAACATTTGCAGGGAAAGGGCTTCTTTCCCCACCGCGTCTAGTAGCCACTGTCACTGGCCAATGTCCTGTGTTGCAGAAATCTCCTGGGGTAGATACAAGCTGCTGGGGACCAAGAAACCAAGAAACCTAGTCTACCTATTTCCCCAGGGGTTGTCAAAGATTAATAAAGGCTTTTTTTTTTGTCCTGCAATGTTTTTCCTGAGACAGGGTGTCATAGCTCAGACTGGTCTCTCAAATTCATTATATAGTAGAGGATGACCTTGGACTCCTGATCTTGCCTTTACTTCCCAAATGCTGGGATTACAGGCATGCATCACCATGCCTGCAATTTGTGTATTCTTTTAAATTATTGTTTGTGAGCCCTCCCCCACAAAGAACAGAGTTTCTCTGTGTAGACCTGACTGTCCTGAAACTCAGAGATTCCCCTGCCTCTGCCTGTTTTTGTTTTTGTTTTGTTTGAGACAGGTTCTCTCTGTAGCTTTAGAGCCTGTCCTGGAACTAGCTCTTGTAGACCAGGCTGGCCTCGAACTCACAGAGATCCGTCCACCTCTGCCTCCCGAGTGCTGGGATTAAAGGCATACGCCACCACACCTGGTTCTGTGAATCTCAGGGACCCTCCCACACGTCTCCTAAGGATAGGAGTCTTTGCCAAGAGCACCACTCTCTATTCTAGGGTCAAGCTAGCTCAGGCTATCCTAATCTAGCTGTAGGAGTCTAGTCTTTCTGCTCAGTAAAGGGGACATTGGTCAGGAAATGTGTGTGAAGACATAGGTGGCCTGACCTTTGGAGGTCCTGGACATCTCTCAACCCATCATCACCAGGGCTCATATGTAATTCCTTCCACACACAAGCTTGCAGGAGCGAGGCTGCCCAGGCTGGCGGGCATTGCTCTAGACCTGACAGGTGAGGCGTGTGGAATGAATGGCGTGGCAGAGCCGGTGTGGCAGTCTGTATCCTAGTGTAATGTGTGTGGCTTCCCTGTCAGTAATGGGGAGGATTGGTACGGCTGCCAAGGAGGGCATGGCAATGTGCTTCCACAGGGCCGCGAGAGACGACAGCAGCGAGTACTAACTGGCTCCTTTTCCCTCCTTCGCTGTTGCACAGAGCCCCAACACGAAGCTTCCAAGGAAGAAGCCTCTGCCGTCCATCTCGTCTGTGTCCAGCATGTCCTACATCTCTAACCCCTGGTTTGAGGAACTCACTAACTTCTTGGTTGAGCAGGCAGTCTCCTTGCTTGTCTGCAAGTACAAGTTTGAGGAAAGCCTCCAGAAGCAACTTGGCTTCATCTCCTTTCCTGTCACTGAGGTTCTCATGGACATCTTCCTGGGGTTCAAGAAGGTGAAGGGCAACCACATCCGTCTGTCCTCAGACATCAACTGGACCTGTCTTCTGCGTAAGATGGAAGAAGCCGAGTTGGCGAGGCAGGCCATGAGGCACGCCTCTAAGACAGGAGCCTCCCAACCTAGTGCCTCCCGTGTTGGCACTTCCCACCGTAGCACAGAATCACCCTCTGTGCAACCTGAACTTACTGGTGACACCAATCAGGACCAGAGTACAGAGTCCCGCTTCTCCCTCCGTCCTGAGTTGCCAATCCACCAGGTGCTTAGCCCTCAGGACCCTGGTACAGGCCAGGAGCAGATGCCCAGGAGTCCTGCAGAGCCCAAGCTGTCTGTGTTCTCCAGTGCTGGGATGGGCTCCGGAACCTCCAAGGAAATAAGAAATGCCGAAGAGGAAGAGGACAGTGAAGAGGGTGAGGAGGACAGAGGAAGTGAGGAAGATGAAATCATAGATTTCTCCGAGAGTGAGCAAACCCCCACTAGCCTGCCTGAACATGAGCTAGAGGACTTTACCAATGAGTCCATTGAAATGAGCCCTGGTTACTCCCCATGAGACCCCTGTAAGGTACACAGAATACTCCAGTCTTTGCCTCCTCCTGCCCTATCCAAGTAGTTGGCCACCCAGTCAGCTGCTGTCCTGAGTAAGGGTCTTACAACCGGGTGCTCAGCAAGAGTTCTGTTAATGTTATCAAAGGAGCCAAAGAGACAAAAGGAAATAAATTACACGTTGATGGACTCAGCTGTCTGGTCCTGGTATGTCATATCTTTTCTTGCACCTGAATGCCTACCCTTGAATAGTACCTTCAGGGTGATCCAGCCCTGATGTTACATAAGCTTTTCTTTGGGATATAAGACAGGGCACTAATGATGCACCAGAGGAATGCTTTTATCAAGGTCCAACTTGGTGAACCAAGGTCCAACTTGGGTTTGCGGAATGGATGAATGGTTATTTACAGGATTATGAGACCTCCAAACGGCTCCATTATCAAAGTCTCACCCCAGTTTGGATAATGACTTCACCAGAGCTGCATAGAACCCCGTCCCCCCCAACCCAGGCTCCAGTTCTTTCACACTGTATAGACTCTAGTTCAGAGGTTCTCAACCTTCCTAGCGCACGGCCCTTTAATACAGTTCCTCGTGCTGTGGTGAGTCCTATGGCTACTGTTATAAACTGTAATGTAAATACCTGATATTCAGATGACTTTAGGTGGCCCCTTTGAAAGAGTCATTCAACCCCGAAGGAGTCATGAGCCACAGGTTGAGAACAACTGTTCTAGTATTGTCAGGGGTCAGGAGACTACGTGCACCTTGGTCAGAATACAACTAGGAAAGAAGTATAGAAGGAATGGCTGTGCTCCCAGATGAAGGTCCCCTCCACTTCTATGCAGGGACATCCATGGGCTCAGTCTTGAGGGGCCTTGTCTACAGCCACAGCTGCTCTGGTGAGGATGACAATGGCCGCTGTGCCGGGGGGACAGTGTTCCACAGCACCTGGGGACAGTCGGCCTACACAACAGCTGGTGGAGCTTCGGCCCCAGAGCTGTGTGGCTACTTCCTGCATCTCTTCTATGCCCTATTCTGCAACGTTCTGGCTTATCAAGCCTTTCTGGACTCCTAGGTGTCTCATCATAGCTGATCAAGAGCAAGCAAGAGAGAATCATTTCATAAGTTCTGTGACTATAGAGACCCCTGACTAATACAGTTTCTGAATGATTAACCGGAATCTGTAAATACAAGCAGCTGTGGCTTCCTCCCAGATGTTTACAGCCTGAGGCTGCTTACTGACAAAGACCTCCTACCCAGACTGTCCAATCCCTCCCTCTTGTGCTGTACATGATAAACATGCGAAGGTTCCCAGTTGTGGCAGGGAGAGAACCCCACATGATCCCAGCTTCATTGTATGGGTATCTGTATGTCTGTCCTTTCTTCCTTCCTTTGGCCATGAGCCAAGGTTTCAGGATTCCTGCCTCTCTGGAAGTGCCGATGTCTACTTTGGGAGGGATCTTTCTTAGGCTCGGGTAGCTTCCTTCTTGCTTTGATGTGCTCCAACCTCGTCTTGAAGCTATGGAAGAATGCAGCCACTCTCCTGACCCTTGAGAATCTCTCTCTCTCTCTCTCTCTCTCTCTCTCTCTCTCTCTCTCTTTTTAAATTTTTATTTATTATGTATACAATATTCTGTGTGTATGCCTGCAGGCCAGAAGAGGGCACCAGACCTCATTCCAGATGGTTGTGAGCCACCATGTGGTTGCTGGGAATTGAACTCAGGACCTTTGGAAGAGCAGGCAATGCTCTTAATCTCTGAGCCATCTCTCCATCCCCCCCCCCTCTTTTTAATTTGCTTGGCCGTCTCTAATTCCTGAGACTAACTTTTCATGCCAGGCCGTATGGGAGCTGTGGGCTGGTGGCTTCAGGAATCTAACTTTCCAGCAACAGTTCTTGGTGGGAAAGGCATAGGAATCAGGGCTCTCTGCAGTAACAGAACAGATAGAAGGAATCTCCTTACATACCTGTATAGAAATGGAGTTCATCAGGATGATTAACAAACTGCAGCTCAGCTAATCCAACAATGGGTGCCTGTGAACAGAAGGTCCAAGAATCCAGTATTTGCTCAGCCCATGAGGCTGTATGTCTCAGCTGCTCCTCAGCAGACACTGGAGTCCTGAAGAAGTAGGCACTAATGCCAGTGAAGGAATGGTCTTGCTAGCGAGGTGAGAGCAAGCAGGCAAAGACCACAGACTTCCCTCTTCCGTGCCCTTACATAGGCTTCCAGCAGAAGTCACAGCCTAGAGTAGCTCTGGATTAAAGATCTGGCATAAACCTGTGTCTTCCGGCCTCAGAGATCCGGATTAGAGGCAGATCTTCCCACTTCAAATTAATTCCCACACCTCACAGGTGTGTCCTCTATGTTGGGGTTTTAGTTAATTCTGGAAGTAGTCAAGTCCAAACCAAGAAGAGCCATCACAGAAGGCCTTTCTTGAAGGGTCTTCAGGCTCCTCCTGACTTTCCTGACAGAGCTCTCGTAGATGTGGCTTAGTTGGAATAACTTGCTCAGCATGCACAAAACCCTGGGCTCCATTTCCGGTACCATACAAACTAGATTTAGTGGCAGTCTTGAAACCCCAGCCCTTGGGAGGTGGAACAGGAAGATTAGAAGTCTAAGGTCATCTTTGGCTATATAACAAGGTCAAGCCTAGCCTAAGATACATGAGAACTTTGCCTCAAAATTAGCAAATACCCCCCCACACACTCACACACAATCCAGGGGACCTGTGTTGCTTCTACCTGAGGCATAGAGCTCCCCTCTCTCCTCAGAGGCTCCCCTGAATCATAGAGATCGGGCCCCTTTGGCCACACTTGACCACTTAGGGACCCAGAAAGGAGTTCTTCCACAGAGCCCAGAGATATGGAGGCACACAGCAACTGTAGAGCTCCCTCTGGAGATAGACAAGAGAAATATGGTCACAACTACAGCCTTATATTCAAGGAGAGCTTGGCTGTCATTCTGCAGGATTAAGGTCCGAAGGTTGGTGGACCAGGGACCCATTTGTAACAGAGGCCATTATAGGCCAGTGGTACCATACTGATATGTCCCATTGGCCTAACCTTATGTCCCATTGTCCTAACCCTATGTCCTATTGGCCTAACTAGGACCATAGTTAGGACAAACTAGGAGGTTTTGGTTATTTGCACTGATTACTGAAAACATATGTAGATGGTGGAAAGTGGTCTCTGACTACCCTTACAGAGACAAAAAAAAAATCCTGTCAAAAGACAGCAGCCAAGAGGAAGGCCTTTGGCTTTCAAAGACAGTGGCTACTAGTTATTATGACTTCCCAAGTCCAGAAACAGAGCATCGCTCTAGCCCAGCCTCAGAGATGCACATCTCTGGGGAGACCGAGAGAAACTCTTTGGGAATCACTAATACATTACATTAGAAACATGGTGTCTTTAGCCCATGTTCCTGTCATCTTTTGGAAGACTTAAGTGACTTCAAAGGTAGTGATCATTTATCATGCCATTGAGGTTGACAGGCTAAAATTCATGCCACTGTTTTCAGCCGTTCATGTCTGAAGGTAGAACATTCTAAATGAGCTCTCTCCCTACAGGGTCTCTCCTGCATGTAGCTTCTCTAGATCTCTAGATTCAGTCATCTAGCCCAAATTTTATTTTTCTTTCCTTCCTTCTGTCCTCCCTCCCTCCCTTCCTTTCTTCTTTCTTTCTTTCTCTCTCTCTTTCTTTCTTTTTTTCTTCTCTCTCTTTTTTCTTATCTTATTCCTTATTATATATATTTGTAATTTATTTAACTTTATTTCATGTGCATTGGTGTAAAGGTGTCAGGTTCTCTGGGACTGGAATTACAGTTGTGAGCTGCCGTGTGAGTGCTGGGAATTGAACCCAGATCCTCTGAAAGAGGAGCCAGTGCTTTTAACCTCTGAGCTATCTCTCCAGCCCCATATATGGGTTTTTTAAAATCTGCATTGTATGTCTGCCCACCAGAAGAGAATAACAGATCCCATGGAACTACAGTTATAGACAGCTGTGAGCTGTCATGTGGGAGCTGAAAATTAAATCTAGGACCTCTGGAGGAGCAACCAGTGCTCTTAACTGCTGAGCCATCTTTCCAGCCCCGAATTGTACTTTTCTTAGATCTCAGAGATGCCACTGACTTCCTAGGAGGAGGAGCAAGAACTTCAGTTTTCAAAGCTGCTGCTGAGAAGCCTCCAAATGCCTCACTCCTGTTAATGTCAGCACAGACAATGTCAGCACAGATTCAAGGGGGAGGAAATGGACACCTTGACTCTCTGCTAACTGGGATGAGAGGAACCCATCCATACCTTTACATATACTGAAAAATATGCTGACAAGCCCCCAAACGAGAGATGTTGTTTGTGATCCCATTTGGAGAGCCGCTGTGAACCCTTCAACAGTCGGCTGGCCCTTGAGCTGCCTGCTGGGTCAAGCTGAACTGCTCACTCTGTCTTGAGAGTCTGAACCTAGAAGACAAACTATGATTGGAAGGTGGAGGGCATTGAAGATGCCATGCGCACACCTGTGCGACTCCTCACAGGGCGAACTGGGCACGGTGGTCTGCAGGGCAAGCACGGGAAAGAAACAGTTACAAAATGGCATGAGGCCCCTTGCGAGTCCAAAGAAATAGTAATTCCCCAGTTTGGCTCTGGAGTCTAAGTTCTCTACCTCAAAGAAAATCAAAGAGTCTCCAAAAGTATTCTCCCTGAATATGCTATAGTCATGTCTGAGCATATTGCAGGAAGCTGAGGCAAAGGGACTTTAAAAAGGAGAAATGAACGCTACAGCATGATTTTAGAGCGCTAGTCCTTGGCTACAAGGACTAATAGTAACTACGGTGCCAGTCTGAAATTAAGTAGGGAGTGTGATGGGTGATCTTGTTCATCAACTTGACACACTTGGGAAGAGAGAGCCTCAGTTGAGGAACTGACTCCTCATTGGCCTGTACGTGGGGATTTCTTGATTTCTAATTGATGTAGAAGGGACCAGTCCACTATGAACAGTGCCAGTCCCTGGGCAAGTAGTCCTGGGCTGTATAAGAAAACTAACTGAGCTGGGTGATGATGGTGCATACTTTTAATTCCAGCATTTAGGAGGTAGAGGCGGGCAGATTTCTGGAAGTTTGAGGCTAGCCTGCTCTACATACAGAGTTCCAGTACAACCATGGCAAATAATGAGACCCTGTATAGAATAAACAACCAAAAAT